AATGTTGAAAAGGATGATGTGGTAGAGCAATTTTTATTTTAACTTGATTCTGTCTTTCAAGAATTTCATATTTCACATGAAAACAGTAGAACACGAGACACCTACGGTGCATGGCCTCGCCCCTATAGCTGCTATGGTGCATGCCCTCACTGCAATAGCTGTTTGATTATCAGCATGAAGAGAGTCAGCTCAACACTAGCTTCCTGCAGTTGCATGCACTTGCTCTTGAATACCTGCAGAAGTAGCAGCACTGCAGCACATTGCAGCTCCAGCCCCTCCCATGCATGTAGATTGAAAGGTGTGGCATTACATAATGATGGCAGCAAGAAGACCATGTGAGAAAGAAGCTTAACTTTTTCTTTACTAATCATCAATATATGATAAACTTGCTGACAGAAAGTTGTTGCCTTCATGTATTTGAGATAGTATAGGTACTTTAGTACCTATAGCCCACTAGGTTGTCGCTCCAGCGTTTCACAAACAAGAACCAGGACAACTGTAACTCTTCACCAAGTAAGATTTAGAAAAATTTGTTCATATCTTTTGAAGGCCATGTTCTAATCTACTGGAAAATGCTACCAGCTATCTCTAGAGTGCCAACACAACGGAACTTGACTCAAATACTCGATTTTCTCACTTTGAAGCTTCTTGTACCTAGCGCTGATATTTGAGCAACACAAAACAGTTAAGCAAGACTTTTCCAGGCAAAAAAGAAAGATCTAGAAGCTTAGAACACGCTATGCTAAAGTTATAGTTTATTAAAGACAAATTTCGCTTGTACAGAATGAATGAACGAGAGCACTAAAGTGCATACCCTCGCCACAGTCTGTGTGTAACAATTTTAATAAATTAAGAGAAAAATAATTAGTGAAAGTTTTGACACAGAAAAGAAGCTTCAGCATGTAAAAACTTAGTGAATGTTTTGAGACAGTGAATTTTTTGTTTTTTAGACAGAGAAGAAGCTCCAGCATGCTTGCTGCACTGCATGCTGCAGCTGCAGCAATGTAAAGGTGTGGCTGCAATGAAGGTGTGGCTCAATCAAGCCATGCTCCACCCGCACACACAGTAATGGTGGCACATGGCTCTAAGTGGTGAAGAAAGCTTTAGTTTTTCTAGACTTTTAAACAGTTTAGCATACATTTGTTAGGCTCTATTTGTTGCATACAAACGTCTATTGAGCCCCTGATGTTTAAAGACTCTGGCCGCTACTTCGGGAGAAGAGAGCCTCGTGTAAACTCACAAAAGTATGAATTTTTGGGCTACCATATCTTTAAAACGAAGATGATTTGAGCAATTCCTCTCATATTAATGAAAGATGAGGCTTTGCTTTATTGTTTTATCTCAGTGCCCAGTTGCTCTTTTGCTCACACTATGAAACAGTTGTCGGGGAACCGACCTACGTTTGGCGACTTTGCCAGCTTCTTTTTCCACGGAAAAGAAAAATATAGCATTCCCAAGACGGAGAATAACTTTTTCTAGAGCCAGTGTTGATTATAAGACTCTCCAGGACTAGACAAGAAAGCAGTGTCAGCTCAAAAGTGGAGGCCAAGCGAACACACACACAGACAGGACGACTGCTTTAAGGCCTCCATACACTAGGCAACATGTTGCTGGCAACTTCTGTGGTCACTTTGATCTTGTGTCTAAGAATAGAATTCTGTTCTATTTTTGGAACAAAATGATTACAAGATCAAAGTAACCACAGAAGTTGCTAGCAACATGTTGCCTAGTGTATGGAGGCCTTTACCCTCGCTTCCACGCCTACGCGTGGGCTCGGGTAATGACAGACACACACAACAACTACCTATACCTCGCGTAGGCGAGGCCAAAAATGCATCTTTTTGACTTTAATTTTTGTTGTTGCGGTTATTGTTATTGTTGTTCTTGTTATTATTAATAATTTTTTATTATTATCATTATCATCATCATCATCATCATCATCATCATTATTATTATTATTATTATTATTATTATTATTATTATTATAACAACCAAAATACACCAAGTAGGACAATAGTATTACTATTATTTTGTTATTCTATTATTATTATTATTATTTAATTTATTCTTAAACAAAAGCAACAACAGCAGGGAAGTGAACAAAACAAAATGAAGAAAACACTGGACAAGCAAAGAGAGACAAAAAAAGAAATTAATAATAAAATAAAATCAAATGAAAATATAGTTCTAATCAAGTAG